TGCGCAAAGGGCTTGATCTAGGGTTTAGGGTTTCGGCCTTCGCTCGCATCTGCTTTTGGATCTTTGACTTGACAAGATCCGTACTACGAGAACGCATCCTAGGTAATTACTCAAGAGAGGCTTGTCTTTGGGGCTTCCTGGGCAGGAAGGGCGGGAAACACTAAGGTTTACGGGCGTGGGGTTATCCTTCTAAGCCAGGAAGCCCGAAGCCTAAACAGCGCCAAACTCCTGTCCCTAGTCCTTTGTTTGACCCAAGTTCAGGTTCCTGCAGAACGTCGTAGAGCGCAAGGCGCGCGGGGGCAGCTTCAGGGCTGATTTCGGATGGGGCAGGGCGGGGAGCGGTTCACGGCCTAGAGGGGGCTTCAGTTAACTAGGGGGGGCTTGGGGGTTGAGGGTGGATGGGTTTAGAGGTTGCAGTATCTGGTGTTGCAGGGGTTGATGATAATGACAGTTCGGGTTTCCCCGCCCTGGTTTTAGCCCCCACTCCGAAGTACCGTGAACCTTCCAGCAGGCTTGAGGTTCAGTTGGAGGCTTGCTAGTATCACCTGTAAAATGTTCCTTTGCAAGGGTCCGGTTCGACCGTCTTGAACAGCTTAGGATCCTAAAGCCTCAGCAGCTTTCCTGAAACCGAAGCCTTTGGACTGCCCTTGCTTACAGGGATGGACCCTTGCTGGGCGTGGGCCCTTGCTGGGCGTCAGGGGCTGAGGGTGAGCATCATGAGCATCAGTTGGCCCCTTGCTGGGCATCAGGGGGCAATGAGGGCGAGCATCATGAGCATCGGTTGGGCATCAGGGGGCAATGACGGCGAGCATCATGGGCATCAGTTGGCCCCTTGCTGGGCATCAAGGGGCAATGGGGGCGAGCATCATTGGGCATCAGTTGGCCCCTTGCTGGGCATCAAGAGGCAATGAGGGCGAGCATCATGGGCATCAGTTGGCCCCTTGCTGGGCGTCAGGGGTCATGAGGGCGAGCATCATGAGCATCAGTTGGCCCCTTGCTGGGCATCAAGGGGCAACTTGCTGCAGTTGGCCCCTTGCTGGGCGTCAGGGGCAATGAGGGCGAGCATCATGGGCATCAGTTGGCCCCTTGCTGGGCGTCAGGGGCAATGAGGGCGAGCATCATGGGCATCAGTTGGCCGCTTGCTGGGCATAGGGGCAATAAGGGCGAGCATCATGAGCATCAGTTGGCCCCTTGCTGGGCCTCCGGGGGCAATGAGGGCGAGCATCATGAGCATCAGTTGGCCCCTTGCTGGGCGTCACGGGCAATGAGGGCAAGCATCATGGGCATCAGCTGGCCTCTTGCTGGGCATCAGGGGGCAATGACGGCAAGCATCATGGGCATCAGCTGGCCCCGTGCTGGGCATTAGGGTGCAATGACGGCGAGCATCATGAGCATCAGTTGGCCCCCTATGACGGCGAGCATCATGGGCATCAGTTGGCAGGGGCAATGAGGGCGCGAGCATCCCCTAACATTTCAACCCGCTGCCCTAAACCTAAACAGCCTAAACAGCCCTTCAAAATCTTAAGGCTCTGAGGTCAGGGAAAACCCTAAACCTTAGCCACTAGGCCTTGAGCCCCACCCAAACCCTGAACCTTAAAGGCTCTAAACCCGAACACCCCTGCATTCAACCCCTAACCTGAAATCTTAAAAGCTTGAACCCTAAAAGCATCCCGACGGGCCCAAACCCTAAGCCCTCAACCGCCCAACCCTAAACCCTGAGCCCTATACCGTCTAACCCTAAACCCTATGTAATCAACCCGACAAGCCCTTTCAACCCTATCAACCCTACAAACCCTCTAAGCCCCCAACACCCGTTAACCCTCTAAAGCCTATAAACCCTAGAAACCCTATGACAACCCGATGAAGACCCATAAGAACCCTAAACCCTGTGTGTCACCACTCCCTCCATGCTGTTTCCGAGGGCGAAGCAGAGTTGGCCTTGAAGGTCGCCGAGCTGGCGGCCCTGAAAAACGAGGACGGGCGTTTGGGGTTCAGAGGGCTTAGGGGATGTTTGGCGTTTAGGGTTTCGAGTTTAGGGTTTGGGGCTTACGTACCTTTAGGGGTTAGATGGGTTTAGGGTAAATGGGGCTTCGGGTTCAGGAATTGGGCTTCATACTTCACAGGTCTTAAGGGTTAGGGCGCCTAGGGCGTAGGTTTTTTGTATGCGAGGAGGTGCGAAAAATGCTAACACGCACAATTAAAGATTATGGTCGAGGTGTTCAGGTTCACAGTTGGACTGGTATTGGTGTTTATGTGTTGGGGTAGGTTGTGCTAGGTGTAACCCTGATGAGAGTTCCCTGTTGCATTCTAGTTGTGCATGAGTTTTGCTGCTATGTGATGCGCTCTTTAGTTTGTGTTTGTTTCTGTGCGCAGCTTACATGAGGCCCCACCGGCGCTGCCTGCAAGCACTGACATCAGCACCCTCATGGTCTAGGGTTGGGATGTTCCCCCTTATACTGGCAGTCCTTAATAGGGATGATAGTACCCCTCTATTATAATCCCTATTAAGGGCTGTTAGTAGGGCAACATCCCAAAGTCTAGGGCTGTTTCGCCGGGCCTTCGTTGTCGGCTCTGGTTTTCTGATTGCTTACTGTTTACCTCAAACCCCAAATGGGCCCTCCGTTTTGCGTCCTCCTACCACTGCCCTTTCTGTAGCCATCAAGGAGCCCTAAACCCGACCTCAAACCCTAGACCTTGGGATGTTCCCCCTAATACTAACCGTCCTTAATAAGGATTCGAATCGGGGGTACGATAGTCCCTATTAAGGACCGTTAGTATAAGGGGGAACATCCCAAACCCTCAACCCTCAAACCCCTAAACCCTGCATCCCCTTAGCCCCCATGGACCCTCTAGAGCCCAGCCTTCGAAAGTGGGGGAACTCTGCAGTGTTCGAGGAGACGGCGGCCGAGGCGCTCTTGGCTGCCGAGGCTCAGGCCTGCCGATTAGGGTTTAGGGTTTAGGGTTTAGGTAGGGTTTAGGGTTTAGGGTTTAGGGTTAGGGTTTAGGGTTAGGGTTTAGGGTTTAGGGTTTGGCGCTTAGGGTTTAGGGGCATCGGGGAATCAAGAGGGTATGGGTCTACGGGTTTCAGGGGTTTAAGGGAGTTTTCGGGGGTTTCGGGGTTTTTGGGGTTTTGGGTTTGGGGGTGTTGGGTGTTTATTTTTTTGTGTGTGTGTGTGTGTGTGTCTGTTGTTTTTTTGTTTTGGGTTTTTTGGGGGTTAGGGGTTAGCTTCGAATGCTTCATAGTGTGCGAGGCAGTTCTGGCCCACTGTGGAGGGTCGTTTGCCATCTCCCACCCCACGCCGCGTAAGGCGGCAAAGCCTTCAATACCCTAAACTCTTCACCCTAGGACGCTAAACCCCGAAAACCCTTCACGTTGATCATTTGGTGTGTGAGGGCTTGGGGTTGTAGGGTATACGGCCCAGTTGGGATTTGTTTCCTGTGGCTTGGGAATCACAACTAAGCCTCTCGCTTCAGGCCGCTTGCGGCTTTCCCGACCCCTGGTATTTTCCCTATTGGGCTTAAGAGAGCAACTCCTGTCGGCTGTTCGGCGTTCGGGTTCAAGGGGCCAACCGGTCTTGGGGTTTGTCAAGGAGCCCGGAGACTGTCAGAGTTTCGGGATGTGGGTTCCTCAACCCCCTGGAGCCCCTTAGGCCGCCAGTCCAGCGCTACCCTTTGACTTAGGCTCCGTCAGGTAACAATAAAGTCGGGTTTCTTTTTGTTTCCTAGGGTGCTGGCCCTATATAACCCTAAACCCTAGAGTCCGCTAGGCGGAGCGAGCTACAGCTGCTGAGGCACGGCCGCTGGGCTTCCGGGGCAGGATTTGGTCGTCCGAGTGTTTACTTAAGCCATCGGGCTGATCTGGATACGGGGTCTTATAGGCTTTATTAAGATTTACTTCGCGAAGCCCGTTGGAGCATGGATGTGCAGAAATGCAAGGAGAGCATTGCGGAAAAGGAAGATGGTCTGTGCTGCTTCTCCACCAAATTGAACAGGCTGGAAAGCCCTCAATCAGCTGTTCTAGTTGTCGTCATGGTGGGGTGGTGGTGCGGAACGGATTTGTAAAGCCATCTCCGTCGCTGCTTTCGAAAGCAATGAGAGGGTTTGGGGTGCTCTCCACTCTCACTGATTGCCCATTTTGAAAGCAATGGGCAACATTCTATTTGGGGATGCTCCTCGCTCTCGTGAGCCTTACCCCTGCACTCCCCACACTACTGAACATGACCGTCGCTTTTACGAATTTTACGAGCCACGTTGGGCTGGCACAGTGCCCGCACGCTCTTCGGCGCACAGTCAGACGAATACGGCCCTCAGCAAGCCAGTATGGCGGAAAGGCTTGCGTGATCTGTCAAACAGCTCTGGGCACCTGCCCGTCAAAGAGGATCGGCTTGGAAAAAAGGAGTTCAACACATCCGCAAAGTTGGTTGCAGAGCTTGAGTCTGCCATTAACAGGGGTGACGCCGCTGGAATCAGGCATGCTCTTGCCGAACGCCACGCAAGTCATTTGAAAGGATTGGAGGGGAGGGCTCACGAGCGATTGAGGTCATTGGAGCAACAGGCTCTCGCTCGTCTGTGCAGTGTGCCCAAGATGACCGAGCCAAGCACGGTGCAATCGGCCATCCGGCAAGCTAAAGCAGCAGGTCTTGATGGACCCGAGCTCGATGAGGCCTGCTTGCACCTTGAGAAGCTCACCTCATCGACGCCCGATGCCGTGAGCTGCTTGCCATGCCGCTATTCTGTTGACCCTTTAAAAAAAGACCTCATACGAGCCGCTGACCAGATGGATGTAAACAAGTTGTCCATCCTTCTTGAACGGGCCCGAGAGATGGAAGTGAATCCAGCGTTGTGTTCTCAAGCAGAGGCTTGTCAACAGCAGCTTTGGGCTACGTAGGCACTTGCAGGGTGAGGGCGACAAGCTCGGGCAAGAACTGGTGATCGCGTTGTCAAATTCAAAGGTGAGGGCTGCGGAGCCTTGTCGAAAGGCAAAGGATGTAGACAGCGAGATGAGTGATGCTATCCGAAGCACGCTCGCTCTCTACAAGCTCCTGTCCTCGGACAAGTTCAGCCGACCAAAAGCTTTTTGCAAAGGCTTGGGGATTTGCTCTTCAAGCGGGAACGACAAAGAAAAGTGCCTCACGGGAATATTGACCGATATTCGGATTGCCATGCATCATCTCCATCGCACAAAGTGTTTGTGGGAGGACAATGTGATGGGACATTTCGCCAGTCGCCGTGTCAGGTTTTTTGCTCTGCGGAGTTCACTGAGGATGTCCAGGATGCATTTGCTTCGGGCCGCTCAGCAAATCCAGGACTTTTGCCCTACCGGCAACTGCCTCCAAAGTCTGCGCAAGCGCCCAAAGCAGCTTTGCGCGAAGGCATGCGCAAGTTTGGGCCTTCTGCAGGGTACCTTGAACCTGAAGGCCGACATCTTGAGCATTGTCCCAGATCAGGACATCAGGGGCTTGGATGACATGGTGCATTTGGTGTCTTCCTTCGTTGGTCTTGAAACATAACTTTCAATGAATTGACTCGACTGAGCAGCTGAACTTATTGCAGGCCCCATCGCGCGGAAAAACGACCGCAAGTGCCAGGAACAGCTACCATGGCCCGAAGAACTTCTCGCCTGATTGCTTACTCAGACCCCGGTGCCTTGAAGACCCCATAAGATCTTTGACCAAGTTCGGCTCGGATCAGGCTGAGGCTCGCGCCGCCAAGGCCGAGAACGAGGCGGCAGGGCTAAGCACAAGTGGTTTGGGGCGGTTGAACTCACAACCCTAAACCCAACTAACAACAAAGGGGGTAGGGCTTTGCGGTAACCCAACAACCACTGTTACTGTACGGGTCTCGAACCTTAGTTGCAGTTCGAGGGTTGGCTGCTTAAGGGCTCGTGAGACCAACATAGCAGTGCTTCAGGGTGGAAGGTTCGCACCTTCATAGCGGCCTTGAAGACTGCGAGTCGCTTCCCCCGAAAAATTGGAACCCTCCATATTTCATTAGTTAAACAAAGTTTGTTGGCCTTTTCAAGCCTATGCCTTAAACTCACCCTGAAACCCGAGACACCCTAATACCCGAAGAGCCTAACTTGCAGTCTATGAGCCCAGACCCTAAATCCACCAAAAAGGGCAACCTCTCAGAGTCTCACACTCATGGCAGAAGCCCTGCGAGACTCAAAGTCCAACACGCGCAGACCCTAAGACCCTACCCAAAGCTCCCTAAGCTCCTTAAGCCCTAAAGCCCCTAAATAGCTCCCAAACCCCCCTAAACCCTAAACCCCCTTAAACGACCTCAGCTCGCAGATGGAGCCAGGCTCACGAGGCGATGGTCCAGGCGAAGCTGGCCGACCAGGCTGGGCACTTGTCCTCAGAGAAGGCTAAGGGTTTAGGGTTTAGGGCTAGGGTTTAGGGTTTAGGGTTTAGGGTTTAGGGTTTAGGGTTTAGGGTTTAGGGTTTAGGGTTTAGGGTTTAGGGTTTAGGGTTTAGTGGTATGGGCCCCTGATATTGGGGTTTTAGGGCACAAGGTTTAAGGGCTGCTTCGGATTTTAGGGTTCTAGAGTTGTGTAGGAACCCTTCAAGGTGCAAAAGGGACCAAAATGAACCGGCTTTAGGGTTTAGGGTACTTAAAACCGTAAACTCGAAGCCCATACTTATATGGAGCCAGCTTAAAGTCCTAGAGCAGATTTCGCTCTTCGATGCCGGCTGGGCCCAACACTGAACTACTCGATCTGAAATCAGCTCTAAACCGACCCTGAACCCTGAACTTCCTAAACTTTACCCCTAAACTTCCTAAACCGTTGCTGACAGGAGCGTTTGTGTGCGGAGGCCCGCACCCACATGGTTGAGTCCATGCGAGGCGGCGCCCGACCCTGAATGCTCGTGCGGGAGGGAGGATTGGCAAATTTCATCGGGCTCATAGAGTTCCAAGCCGCTTGTACGGTTTATGGGGCTTATGGGGAGCATAAGGTTTATAGGGCTCATAGGGTTCATACGCTTTTCGGGCACTACTCAGGTGTTTTTGAGGTATAGGGCTGTGTAGGGTCTAAACTCCTAGCAGCTCTAAGCGTAGTTTTCCTTTTGGGCCAGAATTACCACCACCCCTCCCCCCGTTCCCCTCCACCCCCCGCACTCCTCCCCCCCCCCCCCCCCCCCCCCAATTGCTTTTCTAAGCTTTAGAGCTTTAAGTGAGCTTTATCGTGGGGGCTCAGGGCTTGCTCCCCACCATGAAAATCTAAACCCAAAGCCCTGTTCCCTGAGCCTAAACCCAAAACGTTTACGGGTTCACTGCTATAGATCCTACTTTTAAGTCCTAAGCCCTCAATCCCAAACCCTAAACCTCAACCCCGTGCCCCTCAACCCTGAACCCTTAACCCTGTGCAGGGGCTCTTCAGAATTTGCTGGGCATGCTGTGCGATGCCGTTTTCGAGCTTGACGCCGAAACTTGGGTTCAAGTTGGGGGCTTGAGGTTTAGGTCTTAGGGTGGTTTAGGGTTTAGGGCTTAGGGTAGTTTCGGGATGCGAAGGTTTAGGGTTTAGGCTTGAGGTTCAGGGGCTTAGGGTTAAGGGAGTTTTGAGGTTTCGGGGTTATTGCTAGGCATGTTTGTGCACAGCATTGGGGGCTTTCTGGTGACACGGCCTATGCTCTCAGTCGAAAAATTGGGAAAACTTACACCACCGATTGGGTGCGCGTGTTGGGGTGTGGAAAGCTCATGCACGCACCACAGCACGGGTGCGCGCAGCATGATGATGATGATGATGATGATGATGATGATGATGATGATGATGATGATGATGATGATGATGATGATGATGATGATGATGATGATGATGATGATGATGATGATGATGATGATGAAGTTGAGGGCAACAACCTGTGCTTACCTAGATGCGGTTAGATGCCCGCCATCAAGAAAGAAAGAAAAAAAAACCATCCCCGACGCCAGCTGGAAGGAAAATCCCAGAAGATGCCATAGGGGTCCCCTCTGAGCACAGACGCCCCACAGGCGCCCATTCACTCTATCTCTCGATGTGCTCCAATGGCATCACGAAGCTACTCATTGAAGCTCACAGTCCGCTCCATCTGCAGCTGCGCAGCCGCTCTGGACCAGGAAGCCGCGCCCTCAACAACACTGCATGCGTTCTCCCATGAAGGTCTCAATGCAGCCAGCTGGGCCGTGCAGGCCCGATCCGCCAACATGTTGAGCTCCCTCACCTCCTTCGTGGTGATCATCTCGGAAGGCGAACTCCACTGCGGTCTTTTGTTGTGACTGGGGACCCAATGCACCGTGACGTGGTCGCTCAAGCCCTCAGCCACCCGCCTCCAAAACAGCGCAAGCAAACCATGCCACTGACCCTTCTCCCAAGCACGCCTCAGCCTGCGCACCGCTGCCTGATTGTCAACGAAGAGGATCAGCTTGCAACGCGCCCTTCTCACATGCTTCAGCAGCTGGTGGATGGCCTCACGTTCCGCCGCCGCGGGCGTTTGCTCGCCTCCCTCCAGACGACCAGAGACAGTTGTCGTGGTACTTCTTCGCCTCAGGGTGATGGCCCAGGCACCCCGCTGCCACAGCTCCATGCCGGGTTTGACCAGGCAGCCGCCATCAGTGGCTGCAAACAGCGTGTCGCCCGTCTGGGCTGCAGCCTCCATCTCACTCAGAAGCTCGTCCTCGTAGCCCTCAACTTCATCACGACATGGCGGGGGCTGGGGCAAGTCCACCAAGCGGCAAAGGAGGCGTTCTTCAAGCTCTGTCGCCCTTGCCAGCACTGCACCCGACTCGGCATTGCACTCGAACGTTAGATGCCTTCTGCCAGGCGTGGGATGTCCACAGGAGCACGCAACACCATCCACGGAACACGCAGTTGCCACTCTCAGCGCTGGCCTGGTGGACTTGTCGGCCAAGCCTCGCAGACCAGCGAGGACAAGCGTGCGTCGACCCAGTGGCCCCCAGCCCTCCGTCTTGGCATCCGTGTCCCACAGTTCTTGCAGCCATGCAGCATGTGACAAGCCCAATGCTTAACCCCCGAAGTCTTCAACCGCGAAAGCCACCACCAAGGACCTCAAGCTCTTGGAGCCTGGGAAGCTCGGTGCTTTGGAGCAAGTCTAAGGGCCAAGTGGTCTTTCCGGGGAATCCGGGTGAAAGGTTTTCGGTTCAGACTTGTTGTCCTTCCTGTCGTTTGCCCCCATCCAAAGCCTTCAACCATTCAGCTGATGCAGGCGCTGTTGGACCCCCAGGGTAGGGTTTACAAATGGATCCCTTTCGAGCCGAGCTTTATGGTTCGGCGGCTGCTTAGGGAATTTGCAGTGTGGGGCCTTGATGCATCAAGCTCAAAGTCGCGTCGAAACCCTCTGAACCCTCTGAAGCCCCAAAGCCTCAACTCCGTGGTTCAGGCATGGTCCTGTTCCATTCGAACAAGAAGGGGCTCCAGGGCCGTGCCTTCCAGGCCGGAAAGATCCACAGGGTTTAGGCGGTTTAGGGTTTAGGGTTTAGGGTTCAGGAAGGTTTAGGAGGGTTAAGGAGGGTTCAGGGTTGAGGGTGTAGGGTGTCGGGTTCTTGAAACCCTAGGCCCGAACTTGAGTATAGGGCACGGAGGTACAGAACCCCCCCCCCCCTCCCCACCACAGAAAGGCATGCAAGGTATGCAAACCTTGCATCCTAAATCAAAGACCTCTATGCAAGGTGCACAACCCCCAAAGCTTCCCTAAACCCTAAATCTAAACCCTCAGAGAGGATCTCTTGGTCGATGAAGACGTGAACCGCTTCCATCAGTTCATGCAGAGCGAGGGAGTGCCACGACGGAAGAGCTCTTGAGGGCTAAGGCTTTATGATGTACCCCAAATGGTACTGCCCGAAGGGCTACTTTCCGGGTTGCTCTAGGCATGGGGTCCACATATGTGGGCGCCGTTGTGGACTAAAAGGAAATGCTGCTATAGAGACTCACAAAGGTCCCTGAACTTCCCAGAACCCGAATCAGCCCCTTAGCACAGCACATCTTGACGCCTCAAGGTGAGACCCCACAGGGCCTAAACCTTAAACCCTAAACCCCAAACCCTAAACCCTCAGCTGTAAACCCGCACCTGGCCCTGCCATGCGCGAACTGGCCTGTGGATGTTCAGAGGTTCAGGGTCTATGAGACCTGCTCCAGGAACGCTCGAGCGCTAGACCCGAATACCGCAAAGCCTCAACAAAGCCGCAAGCTGCAATGGCTCAGATCGAGATCCCTAAACCCTAAACCGGCCCTAAACCCGCGCGCATCTAAGTAACGCCTAGCACCTGGCACCAACGCTACACCTACACCAACAACCTTTAGCCCCTACAGCCCTTTAGGGTTTAGAGCTTACGGTTTAGGGTCTTTGTCCGGCTTAGGGTAGTTTAGGGGTTGTACCCTTGACCCCCACCAAACCCCGAAATTTGTAAAGACCCGAGATCCCTGACTCTGCTTTGAGGTCAGCAAGCATCCCCTTCAGGTGTCTGTGGCTTCACTTTGGGTTTAGGGTTTAGGTTTAGGATTTGGGGGTGGGGGGGGGGGGGGGGGGGGTTGTTGACCTCTTTCTCATGGGGGGGGGGGGGGGGGGGGGGCGGGGTTGTTGACCTCTTTCTCATGGAGAGGCAGCGGGTGGCAAAAAGACGAGTAAGATTCTTCCAAGGTCACCACCTCTTTGCGCAGTTCCGGATTCGTGGTGGTAGGGTGTAGGGTTTAGGGTGTAGGGTGTAGGGGGTTTTTAGGTGTTAGGGCTAGTCACCCCCCCAACACCAGCCTAAGGCTCGAACTCCTAAAGCCCCGACATCCTCAAAGGGGTGGGATTCTCGGCTTAGGCTTCTTAAGGCTTTTGGAGCTTTAAGGATCACACCAGGAGGTTCCGGTGTGCAAATGCGCAAGTCTTTTTAGGGTGGAGGGTTTGCGGTTTGGGGAATTAGGGTTTTGGGTAACCCCCACTTCGGGCACTTAAAAATGCCTCAGCTTGTGATGTAGGAGTGGAGAGCTACTTCACCTGCAACCTTTTAAGCCCTCAACCGCCGCCCCTTTAGACCCTCAAACCCGAAAGCCCCTAAAGCTCACGAAGCCCCGACACCCCTGGCACCCACAAAGCAAATCAGCACACCTAACAGCCTTAAAGCCCCTAGAGTCAGAGAGCGCCCTAAATCGTGCCTAAAGAAGACTTCAGGCTCCACAACCCCAAGCCCAAATTCCTAAAGGCCACATCCTGAAACCTTTTGACACCTCAGCCTTGACAACCATCCCTAAAACAACCAGGGGGGGGGGGGGTAAATTTCCGGGAGAGGGCGCTTAAACCGTAATCCCAACTCCTGAACCCTAAACCCCAAACCCCAAACCCCAAACCCTAAAGCGTACGACAGAGGGCGATTTTACACCCACAGTCCCTTGAGGTGACCCTGTGGGGGGCCTACTCCGCCAAAATCTCTGCTGTGATCTACCTGACACAAATCGCGACTCGGACCTGGAGTTCAGGGTGTGGGTCCCTGAGCCCTCAGATAATCGTGGGCCTGACTTCACCAGAAGTAGGGTTCAGGGTTCAGGGTTTAGGTTTTGTGTTTGGTGTTTAGCGTTTAGGGTTAAGGGTAGCCCGAAAGGTCTAAGGTCACTATGCCAAACCCTGAAACTCCAAAACCAGAAGCCCCCAAGTATAATCCCTATTAAGGACTGGTAGTATAAGGGGAAACACCCCACCAAAATCGCGCAAGACTAGTACGGCAAGCCCTGGAACCACCTTAAACTTCCCAAACCGCCAGCCCTAAACCCTAAACACTAAACCCTAAACCCTAAGCCCTACCTAAGAGGGCTTCGGGTGGGACTTGCCGTCTTCTCCAAAGGGCTGTTAAAATAATGGGGAACATCCCAACCTAGACCCCTGAACCTGGAACCCAACAAGCCTGAAACCGAGGAGCACCACGATGCCTCGAAGACGTACCTTGTTGGCCTCACAGAGGCGCTCTGTGGTAAGAAAAGAGCCTTCTTATCCAGTAGAAGGATTGTCTGTTTGGGTTCAGGGGGCACCTTTGAGCTGGGGAGTGCGCAGCCACGATGTTCTTTTGCTTGGTCATTTTCATTTGTTATTGTTTTGTTTTGTTTTTGTGTGTGTGTGTGTGTGTATCTTGCGGGGGCGGGGAGGGGATCCCTAGGGCTTTAGGGCTGTAGGGGTGGGATTTCGGGCTCAGCAGTTGACTTGACTCTGACCTCAAGGAGGTATTGCAGTTCCTGCACCCTTTGCCTGAAACGTCCGAGACTTTGAAGGAAATCGCACGAGAGCCCGCGACTGAATTCTGGAGTCCAAGCAGCGCGCCTCCCTCCCCCCCCCCCCCCCCCCCCCCAAAAAAAAAAACAAAACCGCCGAACCCTAAACTTAACCAGCCAAAAACCATGTTTTCTCAGAGCCTCGGAGGTGCAAGAGCAGGAAGTCTGCGCTCGCAGGCCCCGCGGGGGCTTTAGGAGTCCCTGGGCTTCAGGGACTGGGTCGCGCGTTTGGTGGTCTTCGGGGGTTGGGGGTTTTGAATTTGGGCATTTCCCAACAAAGGGGTACCCTCCTGGAACCCCCCTTTGTACCCCTCAAAGTCTGGAACCTCCAAAAGTTTGAAAAGGGGATGCCTAACGGCAACCCTCCTGTGGATTGGTAGGGCTTAGAGGGTTAGAGGGTTGGTACCTAGGGTACCTAGGGTTTTTAGGGTACCTAGGGGTACCTAGGGTACCTGGGGTTTCGAAAAGGAGCCCACGTGACTCATAGGGACCTTGTACTAGGATGCCCAGTGGACTTTGTTCAAAGGGCCATCCGTTCTTTTCGCCCGGGCAATCGTGTTCTAGAACTTAAGGTCGTAGTGCTTTGAAGGTAAACCCCACGCATTGGATCCCCGGTGTCACCCTGTTTTTGCTTTGTGCCCAACGGTTCCCTGATTAAACTGATCAAACCTGACTGGTAAGCCTATGAAACTTGTGAATTCTTCGTGTTATCATACAGGGATAGGCTTAAACACAACAGGTTTCCTGTTTCTCTCTAAACCCTAAACCCTAAACCCACTTGAGAATTCGCGTGCCAGGAGTTCCATGACTTGCACCATGGAGATGCTCCTGATGTCGACTGACTCGTTGCCGCTCGGAGTTCAGGGCTTGCTGGCGTCATCTCCCCCTACAATCAACCCATTTTCTTGGGGGGCATTTGAGGTCAGGGCACAGGGTTTTAAAAACCCGAACAACCGAGGGCTGTTCGGATTGATGGCAGCGCGCCCACCCCAGACATCATACGTGAGCTCGTGATCTATGGTTCGTACTTCCCCTCATACATAGTGGATTGTGAGTTAGGGCATTGTTGCTTACATCCCTCCATATAAACCTTACGGGATTCTAAGCGAAGGGTACCGATCCCCTGAAGCCATGGGGTTTTAGGGTTTAGGGTTCCGGGAGCTGAGGAGCATGTTCTCCGGCAACAGGCCCTCCCTGCGAGACGTCAAGGCAGTGGTAGGGTCTAGGGTCATACAGGCTGGTGGTTTCCTCTAAGCCCTAAACCCTATGAGCCCCCCTAAACCCTAGAAGCCCTGAACCTGTAGGCACTGTAGGTATATACGAGACTTCTGAGTTCCATTAGGGTGGGGTCCCAAAACAAGTCATCATTTCCCTTCGCTGTCGTTCTAGGACCGTTATCCCATTGAACAGAGAAACTGTGCAACCCCCATTTTCTTGAGCTACTTGTGCGGGGGGCGGGCCGAGACAAGGCGTTCTCTATAACTATATGGGTGCAATGCCTCGTTAGGGCGAATCATCGTGTTTTGCTTTAGGAGATTGAATGCTTGGGGTTTGCAGCCTGCTCTCTTCAAACCCCCCCTGTCTCAAATCCCCAAGAGCTGCAGCCCTGGGCTGTTCTGAAGCCCCAGAAGGCCTGTGAACCTTAGGAAAGGGGCTTCAGAAAGGGTCCATCCGAGTGCCTTGTCTCAGAACGCTGTGTGCAACAAACGAGGACTCCAGGAAATTTGTTTCATGAGCGGCAGCGACTTAAGACTCACCCCTGGACGCTGCACCCCAAAAGTCTTAAAGCTACCATCAGTGGACCAAACCCTAAACCCTAAACCCAGTTGGAGGAGGAGGAGGCTGCAGGGGACGGTCCACCAATGACTTCGCAGCCGAGTTACTCCCCGACAGGCTGGGTGTGGACAGAGTACAACTCTGAGTCCTAGAGTCCTACAGCCCCTGAAACCCCATCTCCTCAGCTCCGCATCTCCTCAGCTCCGCAAACCCTCAAGCCCCAAAAGCTCTAACCCTAAAGGGTTTAGGGTTATAGAGCAAACAGAATTTAGTTAGAGATGAGGAAGGGTGTAAGATTAGCTTGGAACCCCAAGGTCTATGAGTTTGTATGGTGAAGCACGCCAACCTTCCAGAAGGAATACTGCAACTTAGCAGTGGTCTCGGGCTCAGGAATACAAGCTATACGTTAGTTTTCCCCCCAAAGCTCGATTCGAATTAACTAGGCCCCTAATGAAACCCAATATAAACACGAACACTTAAATAGACCCTTGGCTCACGTCATGATGGAATCGCTCCATGACCATCCACATTACATCGAGAAAATGAAATGTAAGCCGAAAAGCCCCTTCATGTGAAATCATCGTGTCGTTTGACGTGACGTCTCCTTACACGGTGAGCCCTACTTGGAGGTTCATTGTGTTATAACTGAGGTTAGCAGTACGTACCCTGAATGATTGGAGCAGTGTATAGGTGATCTTGATATTACATGTTTGACCCTGCAATGAAGCACACGTGAACCTCCCAAGCCAAGCAACAACCATGAGGATGCACCTCACCTACCGACACACCGATAATCCCAACCTTCCGCCCAAAGTTCTGAAGCTCTTGAAGGTTTAGGGTTTAGGGTTTAGGGTTTAGGGTTTAGGGTTTAGGGTTTAGGGTTTAGGGTTTAGGGTTTAGGGTTTAGCATCCTGTAAGCACCCGAAGCCCTAAGAAATGAGCCCTATGCTAGAAGCAAAGGGCAGATGCCCGACGACCCGGTATCGAGTTGATTTGGGGTTTGGGCTCGCAGGGTTTTAGGGTTTGAAGGGTTTAGGGTTTGAAGGGTTTAGGGTTTAGGGTTGCGCTAGGATTTGGGTCTCGTGACATGGGAATCGGGAGTCAGGGTCGAGGGTTAAATGTAGTGGCCGATGCTGGAAAGGGTTGCTCGTCTTTAGCAATGAAAAGAGCCCCCTGGCTGGGATTCGGCATTGAGGCTGTATGGGGCTTTTCTCAAGTGACTGTTGTGCCCTGAGCTATTCTATGAGTAGCTAGTGTGTACAGGGTTTCGGCTATAGAGGCTGAGGATCTGGGTCAGCTGTTCATGACATATGGGTGGTGGGGCTTAAGGCGAGGTGGCTGCATGCCTTATGCAATGGCAAACAAGAAGGAACCCTGGCCCTACCCTGGCTGTAGAGCAACCTCCACATTGACTCCACATGGTGCCTAGGATGTAGCTGTTATGGAAATGTGGTTCAGGGTGTAGGGGACTAGGGTAGCTACTTGCCGAGTTTATGAAAGGGGAAGGACTGCCCTGAACATGACAAGGTGCACAATAGTGGCAACTCTTCAGGTGCCTGTATTAAGCTCCGAAGCCTACACCGCTGTTCTATGCTCTGTCAGGCTTGCCGCCAGAGATCCTGCCAATGGAACGCGAGGAGCGGCGTAAGCAGAGGTAGGATTTGGAGCTTAGGGGTTGGGATGTTCCCCCGTATTCGAGTAGGGATTAAAGTACCCCTATTATTATTATTCCTATTAAGGACTGAGAGTACAAGGGGGAACATCCCAAGTTAGGGGTTTCAAGCTTGAGGGCTCAGGGTTTAGAAATGGCCGTGTATGCATCAAGACGGGGGCTGAATAATTAGAACACGGTTTTGGGGGTTATTACAGTATATCTATAAAGGGACCCTAAGGGAACCCTTATAGTACTCTGGCTGGCGACCCTCACTTCACCTAGGACCTGGGAGGGAGGTGGCTAGCCCCACTTCGTCGGTCGGGCTGCACAGCGCCCAACGCCAAATCTCAGCCGCCAAAATGTCTAGAAATCCTCACCTTCAAGGAGCTGAAGCCAAGTCCTAAATCACCAAAAAGGCACCTCATATCTGGTTCCCTTTGTAAGTATACCGTAATAACCCCCAAAACCCTGTTCGAATTGTAAAGGCCCCTATACTACGCTTGATCTTTGCGTGCCAAAAACGATGCGCGAGAACGGGTGTCAGCGCAGAGTCTGATGTGGACGACAAATGCAATAGGGCTTATACTGGCTTATAGGGCTTATAGGGCTTGTGGGGCTTGTGGGGCTTGTCGGCTTGTAGGGTTTATAGGGCTTAGGGTTTAGGGTTTCAGGTTGCGGGGGCGGTAGGGCTTAAGGGCTCGTCGCAAAAGCGCAGGAACAGAAGATACTCAATCCTCACCCCCAACAACGAGCAACGCAATCGTAAGCCATAATTAACAAATCAATGCAATTCGATATAACGATGGCCTTATCAGCCATGCGTCCACCTAGCAGGTCCCAATCTTGGGTGGTCGTAGGGCCGTACGGCTGCCGAGAGCTCAATCTCAGAAAATCCTAACCCTAGACCCCAAGTACACCCCCACACTCAGAGCCCTTGAGCCCCAAACCGTTTAGGGTTTCGGGCTTAGGGTTTAGGGTTCAGGGTTTAGGGTTCCCGTAACTCCTAGTCCCTTAAGCCCTGGCAAAGGAGCAGCTCCAGTCACTCTTGGCCTTTCTGTGGGGCTGGCCAGTGCCCGACCGACAGGGGCGCCATGGCGAAGGAGTTTGAGGTATGGGAGTTCATGTTGAGCGTTCAGGGGTTCAGGGTTCAGGGTTTGGGCATTTTTGGGGGTTTTGGGGGTGGCCCGAAAACCGCAGAGGTCTGGGAGGTCAGGGGATGAGAGCTCAGTCTAGCGGGGGCTTGGGATGGGTCGGACTGACCATGAGCACTTCATTCTTTAAGCCCTCAAGCCCGCTGGAAACCCTCAACCCCTTGAATCCCTGAGCCCTTATTTAACCCGAACCCCTTCCCTGAAACCTTTTACGCCCCCCAAAACCCCTCAAAACCCTAGACCCTTGAACCCTTAAACCCCCAAAGCGCCTGAAACCAGATTCCAAAAGCCCCCAAAAGCCCTAGAAATGTCATCAAGTAGTCCTCCAAGCAAACTCCAGGCAAATCTTTTTGATGTATACCCCTAAGACCGGGCAAACGCAAACTGGACCAGCGAGTAGACAGCTCCAAACCCCTCTAAGCTCCCCCAGTCCACGAAGCTTGGACACCAGGTGTTGCGACACTCACAAGGTTCTGGCGCATGCGCAGGAGCTGTCCGCGACTCAGAGAGGGACAGCGTTTGGACAGGGTTTTCTTGGAAGGCTCTCGGCCTGAAAGGCCCCCTTCGCAGTGCATGCAGGGGCATGGGATGCAGAGTTTGCAGGCAAAAGGAAGGCTTAGGGAATCGGGTTCGTGGGGACTGCAGTTTAGCTGCAGCTAGCAGCCCTAAAACCGCAACCTGCGTTCTGTGGTTTGCAAGAGACTCCGTGATGTAAGAGGCATAGAAGGGATCCAAAATTCGAGGCTCACAAAGAACTATCCTGAGACAATCCCCTAGAAGCCCCGCAGGGTATCTTGAACGGTGGCTGGCAGATTCCCTCAAGGTTTGGGGTCGAAGTTAACCTTGGCTTCAAGTGACAGAAAACCCTCTGGACACCTGAGGACAGGGGAACTCCTTCATGCCCTGACGTGCCAGGCACGGTCCGCGTAAGGAGCCTTGAGCGGGCCTTTATCTATTCTCAGCTTAGCTTAGCCCCATCAAGCCACAAGAGGGGCACTTGTTTGCTCCTGGATTACTTATTCGGGCTTATGCGTTCAATCCTAAATTTCCGGTGGTGCCAGGTGGCACCGTGTTTTCACATTCAGGTGTCCTGGCAGACCTCATCAATGTCGTACAAGGGATGGTTTAAGTCGCATCTTCCTGGGTAAAGTCTCATCACAGGCGCGTGTGACACTGGAGATTTGCATTCCCAGCTGTGTTTTTGAGGGCTACCTCTTCATTGATGGATGATGATGGGGATACCTGGGGCGAACCAAATCTTTTTGAGCTGGATGGAGTAAAGTGAGTGCAGCAAGACTCCGTTTACCATAGGGTTCGATTCTTGGGAGCTGGGAAGGTCAAGTCACTTCTCAGGCTACTTAGGGCACCTTGCACCTCATACCTCTAACAAAACAAACCCCTTCAGAAGTCCAAGCTTTGAAATCAGGCGCCCGGAGCACTCAACCCTAAGCTCTCAACCCGAAACCCTAAACCCTCAACCCGAACGCCCCAACAAAAAACGAAAAACTCCCCAAACCCTGCCTGGGCGGCCAGTCTGTTCCAAGCTCTTTGGTCTGGCAGTGTCCGGGATGTGGCTTGGCAAATGGAGGTTTATGGGCTCCTCTGGTTTGTTGTCTTTTTTCGGGGGGTGGTTCCCCACCATTGGGGTACTTTCTTGGCGGGTTCCTGGAATAAGGGGTATAGTTATAGTAGTTTGCAGTATATACGGGAACCCCTATTCGGGAACTGTTCATACAAGCTCTTGTAGGTTGATAGGATCCTGTGCAGCAACACTGCTCAGAGGCCAGCCAAGTGTTTGGACGTAAGCAAGTTAAGCCATATATCCCACAAAATGAGTGGTACTTCTTCGGGTTCAGGTTCAGGCTTCAGGGTTATGGCTCCTGTTATCCTAGAGCTTGGTGGTTCCCTCGCTGGGGGTTCTACTTGAGAGGCTCCGGATCGCTGGGTTGCTATTTTTAAGGGGTTTAGGGTTTGGGCTTTAGGGTTTAGGGTTTAGGGTTTGGGGGTTCTAGGACGGGCTTACTCTTGAAGCCACTGACGGCACGCTACTGAATCTCCATACTATGAATCTACAAGGCCAAGGCACACAGTCATGTACGTCCTTTGCGGAGTCGTGGCCTCTCTCCAGATTCGACGCCCACACGAAACCCAAATGGGCCTAATATACCCCCACATACTTAGGATCTGAATTGTAGGAAGCCCCCAACAGATGCCCCCACCATTCTAGGAACAAAAGCCCTCAGTGTCGAGGCAAGCTGAAGGGCATCTCAAGTGATCGGCGTCACTTCGACCCAGAGCAGCTGACGTGCGGCCGCTGCAGTTCTTGGGACATGCTCTTCTGCTAAGG